GTATTCCTACAATTGCATTACTTTGCAACTTTAAACAACTTGTTTATCAACAATCAACAATGTTGATAATGTTTTCTCATTATCAACATTTTCTAGCAATCATCATACCTTTTATCTGTGTGTCTCCAATATCTGAACGTTCATACAGGTCAACGCTGTGGTCATTTTCTGTAGTTGTGCCAGGTCCACTGAAGAATAGAAAACAAGATATAAACATTTCAATCTGTGTTATTTAGATTATAGACATAAGCCTATAGAAAATAAAGTGATAAAGTTGGTTTCAACTTGGTTTCAACATTGTGGTATCACTGAATCGCGTTGCGTTGCAACGCCGCGTTATTACAGCGCCCAGGTCTCGTTGCAATTCAAATTCATGCCGATATCTGGTGTCTCAACCGTCACGTCGGCGTCATAGCGCGTTCCAGATGACCAATAATGGCTACTAATCTTAAGGATGTTTAAGATTTCGGACTCTTAAAAAAAGTACTTTTGGTCTCCCAAAGGGGGGTGCGCGCACCCCCCGCGCCCCCGCCTGAATCCGCGCCTGACAATGATTTACTTAGGCGACCACATTGGGATTAAAAAAAGAAATTATTTTGCCGAAAGGTAAGTAGTTTCCCTGTCAAAATTTAAGTTAAAATAATTTTATTTCACAGTTTGAAGTAAATTTTCTTTGTTTCTGATGGTTTCTTTCGTATTGAAACTCACAATATTTGACTTAATCTTTAGGAATTTTCTGGGGGAGGACCTGCAGACCCCTCATAATAAAAACCGATGCCTCTAACCACACTTTTATTTGACATTTATGCTAAGGATTTTTATTTTTTTTCTCTTTCCTCTTTATCACTTCACTTAATGTTCCTTTGCCATAATTTTTCAGTTATTTGTATTCCAAATATTTAAATTAAAGTGTCTTTACTTTATACTTTGGAGTAAATTGCCTTCGTTTCAGATGGCTTTAAACCTATTTAGATTGATTAGAACACATGCAAATACAAAGATAAAATTGACATGCTTTTTTTGAACATTTTTTTTTGGGTAGGACCCCCAGACCCCACATAACTAAAGTTATCTCCCCAAACCACTATTTTATTTACCTGTATTTTTTCGCTTCCCTCTTCCCTTAGACACGCTATTGATATTTACATAATGTATTGTCTTTTCATTTTATTTAATTAGGTAAAAGAGCATGACCAACAACACCAAATGTATTTGTAATTCCTGACATTATAAGATAAAATGTCAGACAAAAATTTCTTGCTTTAACTAATTCTCAAAATTGAGTTCCTTGAAATTAAAAATATATTTTTCTCTTTACAACATTTAGCCAAAGATTACAACTTTTTATCCAAAAGTAGAAGGAACATGCAATCAGGGAAACAAATGTATATTGCATTGAGTGTCCTATCATTTAATCAAATGGTAAAGCTGTTTTCATTACATTCCAGGAAATAATCTGTTTGTAATAAAAAGGCAAAGGGGCCTTTATGAGATAATGGGCCAAATAGATAGAGGAGCGTGAGAGGGGTTGGAGTGGTAGCCCTCTGAGTTCAAGCCCCACTCCCTCGGACCTACACTCTGGGTCCCTGAGCAAGGCCCTTAATGCCACACTGCTCCCCGGGGGTCGCACAATGGCAGCCCACTGCTCCTCAAGTGGATGGATCAAATGCAGAGGTGAACTTCTTCAGTGTGAGATTGATAAAAGTAAAAAAAAAAAAAGAATAATTATTTTTGCAAATTGTAGAAAGCCTGGAAAGAGAAATACTCTACAATGATTACGGTAATTGCAGATCACAATGTCTGCTCTGATCTGAAAATCATATCCAACATGTATGCATTCTGTTGTAGTTTATTCATATGTGGATTCTCGTTAGAACCAGACCAGCTGTTTTTAAATCAGATCCACCTTTATGTCCATCAAATTAATAAGATTTTCAGAAATGCCTGCAAACTTAAAATAACTATATGATTTACTGAAGTCTGAGAAAACAAGAGTGTCCAAACTCCCCCTCTCTCTTTTTGATGGCTGCCATTCTAATCAAACATTAAAATATTGAACCTTTACGGGTATTTAACTTCCAGTTGTTCTTCAGTAAGTTAGCCAATGACACAAAAACAGTTTTCCTCAAAATCGTTGAGCAGATTCCACAAACTATCCAAATCGTACTTTTTTACAACTTAAACAAGCTTACTCCAAATTTATGATAGTTTTAAAATGTATTAGTGCATTCTCAGGAGTTGACATCTTTAATTCCCCAGGGCTTGTTTTCTTTAAACTATTAAAACATGTATTCTTGATTATTAGCTCTTTGTAGCTCTACCCTATTGTCATAGTTTTGGTTTTGTTCAAGATTTATTTTGAGTTTTTAATGGTGTTATTTTGATTCTTGTGTTATAGCTATTTTTGAATGTATTTGAGTTCTTAGATATTTCCTGTCTGCCCTCTTGTGTCAGTCTCCTTTTCCCTAGCTCCCTCCTTGCCTCTGTTCACACCTGCTCCCAATCTGCTAATTAGCCTGGTCTTTGTTTCTCTCTCCCATGTAATCTCCTTCTTTTTAGTCACTCTTGGCTGGTTTGTCGTCATTACTTTGCCCCCTTCTTGTTGTGAGTATTCTTGGTTTTAAACATTTTGGGATTTTTGTGGATTTATGTTTTGGATTTTTGCTTTTGTTGAACTTTTGGTAATTAAACATTCAAGTAACCACCTTAAGCTTTGTGTCTGCATTTGGGTCCTGTAAAACCTCCACCTCCCCAACTGTGACGCCTTTTTTCACTCTTTACCAGTATTACTTGAAGTATGTGTTGTTGTTTTTTTCACAAATGTTTGTGTCAGCATTGCTGCTTCTTCATTAATATTAGCTGTTGTTCTCAAAAGCTTCAACCTTTTGTACAGTGTCAGTATTCTGCCAAAAGTTCAAACACAGTACATACTTCTAGGAGCATATGCTGGCGAATAGCGACCTCCTCTGGCCAAGACTCAGTATTACATCTTGTTAGGATAATTATCATAGATGATGAGTGAGTTTATTACACCTTAGTATTGGCTGCCTGTCGCGTGTCAGAACTGTTGTTTTCCACAATAGTTTATCTGGTTAAGATGGTTCTTCTTTCCGGATATACAGTTATAATCTTCATTCTGTACGTGGCAAATATTTGGGAAAGGAATGAGAAATGAGAGCCTTCAGTCAGTCCTTCAGCTAGGAACAAAGTGTAATATTGTGTCTACTCATGTCTACTCATCTGCTAACATGTATGATGTGGCGATGTGGCATACTGTAGATGTATAAAATGCCTTTTTAACTTCCTGAGAGGTGAGCCAGGTTGGTATGCAGCTGCCTTTTGTAAAATCCAAGCAACTTGTCTGATCTGAGAAAGATTACAATTTCTATCAGAATCTGTTGTCATGTCTCCTGGTTAGTTAATACATATAAGTTATGAAGTGTTATTTAAAGAGTTTCTCCCGAGTGATTTCTTTTCAGGAAAAAGAACAGGAGAGATGGTGCATACACAGAGCCTATCTTTAACAATCTACGCCTTATGGACAAAGGACAATCTTTTGAGGACCATAATGTTCACATTTTGGACAAAAAAATTGGTGGTTTTAGAGGGGCGTGAAGGAAGCCATCTATGTTAAGAAACACCAACCTTAAACAAAGGGGATGGACTCAGATTTCCACTTTCAAAACCCTACAATGCAGCGATAGAGCTGATTCCCTTCCGCTATCATCGCAACCCCAACCTAATTACAGGGGAACAGTACACCTCGCATGTGCAGCAAGGCCAACAATTCCCTCTAACGGCCCTCCTTTCGTTGACAGACTAAGAAAGAACCCAAACGACCCCCATTCCTAAGGGGCGGACCTGCTCGTCAGATTCACTTTTCATGTTTTCTGAGCCAAAACAAGGCTTTGTTTTTGGTCCACTCTATAAAGCCTCAATTACTCAACGCTATTTCAGGCTTTTTTTTTTTTATTGAAAAAGCTTCCTGGATGGGAAGCGAAACATCTTCAAACTTGGAAACAAAGTCCAGTGATTTGTTTTTTAACTTTTTTGGAACTCCTATGAGCAGCTTTACTTCAAACACTCATGAACTCTTCCTCACATACATGTTTAGCATGTTATATGTGCAAATGAAGTACAATGAGGCACCAATATGTCTTATTCCTTCTCTACGCAAGTGTGGTTTGATTTCAGCTAAAAGGCATACAGCTTCTCTCATCCTCGTGTGTTGACCTGTTTTTGTGCGCTCATGTCACCTTTTGTCACGGCGTTAGCCACAGGACAAACCAACCTGCCTGTGATTAGCTACTTCTCACGAAATCCTAACTCTTATGGCTGTACTCTTCTTCCTACTAGCAAAGCAAAGTCTGTTATTGATTTCAGAGAGCATTAATTAATGAACATAGATGAAAAGGAGGAGACGCAGAAGCCTCTCTAGCCCAAGGGCTATACTTATGTCCCTGGCTAACATCTTTCTTTGTGTTGCCATTTCACACAATGGGGTGGTACACCATTATGACAATATGGGCTCTATCATTGTCACATTTAAGTGCTGAATAAACAGCCTTGACAGTTAATACCAGATGTTAATACATTGACATCTGGATCAATGTTGTCATTCCACTGCTCTGCCTTGGTGCAGAACTGGTTTCAAAACAGTTTACAGTTCTAAATCTCTGGCTAGATCCAGATAGGCAAATATTACGTATGTAATATGCACGTATGTAATGTTTGATTTATTCTATTCAGATTACTTTTTGTTTTCTTATTTGAATTTCTAGTGCTTTGTGTGTGCTGTGGTGGGACGTATTTTACTGTCATTGTCTAAGTTGACTGATTTGGGGTATATTAAGAGAAATATAAGTAATTTCCCTCTGGGATTATTAAAGTATTTCTGATTCTGATATATCACATTTTCAATAGTATGCAGCATTGATTTTGTGTTTTTTGGAGAATTTACCATGGTGTATATTTTCACTTTCTCTGGGTATTACACTTACAGCAATCTTCTCAATGAGAGTCAAAATTGATAAGTGTTTCAAGTTTCACACTGTGTGTAACTGGTTCAAACAGAACTGAGCTTTAAGAAATGTGTTTCATAAGGTAACAGAATTTCTAGATTTAGAGATAAACAATCATAAACTGTAAATTGCTATCCCAGTTTTTCCTCTCTTAACAACCTAATTTG